ATCATTGTTGTTGCTTATTGGTCCAGTTGTGAAGATTTTTGTTTTCTTTATGTTGAGGGTGTAATCCATACTGGAGGCTGCGGTCTTTGATCTTCATCAGTAAGTGCTTCAAGTCCTCTTCACTTTGAGCAAGCAATTTGAGGAGATAGTAATATCTGTGTTCCATGGGGAGCCCTGGTGGTACAGTGGTTAAGACCTATGGCTATTAACCAAAAGGTCACCAGTTCGAATCCACCAGCCACTCCTTGGAAACCCTATGGGGCAGTTCTATTCTGTTCTGTAGGATCGCTATGAGTGGTCGACAGCAAATGGGTTTTCTATGGAGAAAATAAATCAGAAGATGATAGGGACTGTTGAGGTGAGGGTAGGGGATTGCAGTTTTGAATGGATTGGTCAGGGAAGGCCTGCATGAAAAGGTCACATCTGTCTAACAGTGTAGCAGATGATGGAATAATCATGAAGCTTTCCTGGGGAGGAGCATTCCAGGCAGAAGGAAAACTGGGAATAAAGGCCCCAAAATGAGAGCTTTACTTTGTGCTTAAGGAATATCAGAGGCCAGTATGCTTGACTGGTGACTGAGCAGGAGGGAGCATGGTAGAAGATTGGGTTAGAGATAGAATGGGATATAGTCAAGTAGGGCCTTGTAAGCCATTGTAACAAATGACTTTTACATAAAATAATGAAATAATGCAGATGAGAGTTGTTGGTGGCTTGAACCAAACTGATTACATTAGAGATAGTATGAAGTGATTGGATTCTGAATGATGTGTTCAGAATGTAGTATTACATACTACATCTATTACTCAGAAAGCGTTTAGGCTAAAAATGAAAATTGTTTTTTATGTTTCTGTTATTTCTCTTGCAACTGATGAGCCCGTTTATTGTTTCTCAATGATTGAAGCAATTTTACTCTTTCTCATTTGGTCTAGAGCTATATTGCTTCTTAAAGAGTTTAGATAATCCAAGCTATCCCATAAAGCATTGAGAATAATTTTGAAGCTATATCCTTCCTCCTGCTCCCACCACCAAAAGAGTAATATTTTATAAGCAGTCATTACCTTTAAAATGGTCCTAAATAATTAAGTGTCTGGCCAGCCAAGGTGAATTCCTTCTCTTCTTATCACTACTTGAGATGACCACCATTCTGTCTCCTCCCTGACACCCAGGCAAGTGTCTTCTTTCCTTCCCCGTTCCTCTGCCTGTTTCTCTTGGAGTCTTCCGGAGACTACTATGCAGGTCAGGCCACATATCAGACAAGAAGATAGAAACACAATTCTTCTTATCTAAATCTGGTCATTTTTTATACATTCCATGGGTTATTGGAAAGAAATTATATTTTCCAATTGTTGGGTACATCTTTGTACATACATGGTTAGAGCAAGCTTACTGTGTTGTTGAAATCTTCTGTGTCCATTTATGATTTTTTTTTCTGCTTGATCTGAGAGAAGTAGGGTGAAATTTCTCTGAATAATGGTGTAATTTCCAATTTCTCATACTTCTGTTGGTGTTTGCTTTAAATATTTTAAAGCTATTAGATGCATACAAGTAAATTGAATCTTTTATCACTGTATGATAACCATCTTTGTATCTAATGTCTTTTGCCTTAAAGTCTATTTTGTCTGATATCAATAGAGCTGTCTTTTGGTTAGTATTTTTGGTGTACTTTTTTTTTT